GTTCATTTCTGTAAACAATTATTTTGGATTCTCTCCAATCATTTTATTTATCTCAAGTTCAAATCTTTTTATGTGAAGATGAACTAGATTTCTCAGCAACAGATGAATTTGTGTCAAAATCAACTTAGAGAGCTTACCATAAGAAACAGTGAAGCAAGTTTCTTACAATCCGCATAGACAGAAATGGCTAAATTAACCAATGTCACTACTGGGGTCATGGAGGAGTCATAAATAAAGGCAGAAAATATGCTGATGGAGTACGATACATAATTAGTGCAAGGTCAGAGAGTGATAGCTAGCCTTTCGACAAACTAAAATATTTTATATATTTTGATTAATTTTCCTGTGAGAATCAGATAAGCTGTCATTCTAAAGTTAGACAATTTAACTTAATTCTAAGAGTCATGAGCTTAAGGCTATGTACAGAGAAACTGCAGAAACTAGGATAATGAAAAGGAACCAGGGAGGTAATGGGCAAGAAGGAACCTGAGAGAGAAGAACAGCAGGAGACAGGTGTTACTAAGGGAGGAGTGGATGAAATGGGGGTATTTGAATGGGAGCAGGAGGGAGAGTTATACAAGGAACCTTGGGATGAAGGGAAAGAAGGAGATCAAGAGAGGTGGGACCATAGGAGACTGGTATTATCAAGGGAGAAATGGGGGAAAGGCAGATACTTTAAATGGCGAAGTCATTGTGGGAGGGTTAGACAGGGAGAGAGAGGATAGATAGATAATGCCTAGCTAGTTTTAAAAAAAAACAGAGAAAATCATATCAGTCCAACAACCTACTGACAAATTACACATACATTATCCCTACATGAGTCCATGTGTACAGCTGAAGGCTACATAACAAGAAACAGTGCCAGACAGGAGAAACCTTTCTTTGAGTTGTTGGCCAGGGTAGTCCAAGAGACTCCCCAAATTTTACAGGCTTTACCACAGTCCTTGATTGCCTCCCAGAACTTGAAGGTAAGACCCTACTGCTGAAGATAAATATTAGCTACTTCTTAAAACGCTTTCTAGCCTTTGTTTTATTTCAAAATGGGCTAAATGTCAGTCTTTTTAAAAAGTATTTTGGTTTAATTAAAATATTTTTAATTGTTTGACAGTTTCATACATTATATAACAAATTCTGGGCCTCTGGTAACTCTTCGGGTCATCAGACAGTTTATGAGGTACTTGGTATAAAAGTGACCTCAGGACGCAGATTAGGAAGTTACCAGCAACCTAGAGCTAAATTAACGTGTGTCAAGAAGAACAGGAAACTCGGGGATGAAGGGAACAGAAGTTGGGAATGACACAGGTGGTGGAAGGAGATGCAAAGTGGCCACGTGACTTTTCAGAAAAAGGGGATCTAGGTTATGTTTATGCTGTTTGCATCCCTTTGTGGAATGTTTCACCTTCTATGCCATTGATCCACCAGAACCTCTGTGACTGGATTCCGTGTGTCACATGGAAATCACAGATGGGGGGGCTATATTAGTTACTTTTCTGTTGCTGTGATAAAACACCGACCAAGGCGACTTATAGAAGGGAGAATTTATTTGGCTTACAGTTCCAGAGGGAATGAGAGACCATAATGCCAGGGAGACATGGTGCCCGAGGTGTTGGGGCAGAAAGCTGAGTGCTCACATCTTCAGGCAGGCACAGGAAACAGAGTGACTGGAGATCCAGCAAGGCTTAAGAACTCTGTAAGCTCAGCCCCAGGGACATGCTTCCTCCAGCATGGCCAGCTTCTAAGACCTTCCAGAACAGCACCACCAACTGGGGACAAAGTGTCCGAATACTTAGAGACTATGGGGGACACTCATTCAAACCACCACAGGGGTTGGCTCCAAATTTACTCTGAAGGCAGAACAGCGTGGCAGGGTAGAGAGCACGAGTCCTAAACCGCAGGGAGTCCTGAGAATAGAACTTCTCCTGAGGGCCATGGGACGCTGGAGCAGGGTATGACTTTCCACAGGGGTTTGAAACACTGGAGAAGACTGGTCCCAACTTATTTCTAACCATGAGAAGGCACAGTATCCCAAGGTCGTGGATGTGTGCGTGCGTGTGTGTGCGTGTGTGTGTGTGTGTGTGTGTGTGTGTAAAAATCTTTGAGTGATAAAAGTCCAGGAAATCCGATGCCCTCTTTTGACTTCTGTGGGCACTGCACGACATGGGTGCACCTACCTACATGCAAGTGATACACTCATACACATAAAATGAAATAACAAAAAAACTCTGGGCAACAGAAAAATTTGCAAAAATTTTATCCAATATAAAAATCCTTTTACAATTTATTTATTTGTACGTGTAGGAATGTTTGGCCTGTACGTGTGTAAGTGCATCTGAGCGTGCAATGCCTGTAGAAGTCAGAAGGGGGTGGCAGAGCTCCTGGAACTGCAGCTACAAACAGTTGTTAGTGGCAATTTGAGTGCTAGGAACTGAACTCAGGTCCTCTGCAAGATCAGCAAGTGCTCTTAACTGCTGAGTCATCTCTCCAGATCTGATAAAAAAGTAAAGATCCTTTATCTGCATGCAGAAGAACGAAATCAGATCCTTATGCCCCACCATATTTAAAAAACAATTCAAAATAGAGAAGAGACTTAAATGTAAGACCCAAAGCCACAGTACTCTAGAAGAAAACATAAGATAAAATCTCTGGCATTGATCTGATTAATGATTTTTCTTTTGGATGTGACTCTAACACACAGGAGACAAGAATAGGCAAAAGCAAATGGTTATGTCAAGTTGAAAAGTTCTCCAGAGCAAAGGAAACATCCAATGGAGTCAGAGACTGACTGTTTGCCAGTCATGCCTGGCAAACAAATTCAGGAGGAGATCAGACAGCCCAACGGCAGAAGGCAGTAGCCTGATTAGAAATGGGCAGAAGACCTGTACAGACATTTCTTAAAGCATGCAAAGCGGTTCAACATCACTCCTGATAGTCACGGAGATGGAAAATAATGCTACAGTGTTGGGATGACCGCAATCACAGAGAGGAAACAAGTCCTGGCGAAGATGTGGAGAAAAGGGAGTCCTTACGCACTGCAGGTGAGAGTGTAGATGAGGAATGCTCATGTGGAAACAGTGTGCTTGGCTCCTCAAAGTGGAGCCACTGCAAAGCAGTTCAACATCACTCCTGATAGTCACGGAGATGGAAAATAATGCTACAGTGAGAGATCCCATACCTGTTGGGATGACCGCAATCACAGAGAGGAAACAAATACTGGCGAAGATGTGGAGAAAAGGGAGTCCTTACGTGCTGCAGGTGAGAGTGTAAACGAGGAATGCTCATGTGGAAACAGTGTGCTTGGCTCCTCAAAGTGGAGCCACCATTGTGTCAGCAACTCCAGTACATACTGCAAATGAGCTGAGGTCTATAGCTCAGTATCGATCAGAGGGATGCTTGGACTTTGATGTGTATCACACCACTCTTCAGGATAGTCATGTCACGGAATCACATGGAGGGTGGATAAAGATAACAGCGTACTGACATGCTCTTGGATACCACTGACTCTTTATAGAGAAGGGAATTCTGCTCTTACATTGATGAACCAGAAGGACATTAAGCCTAGTGAAATAAATCAGGCACAGAATGACGAATCCTGTTTGATATCATTTTTATGTAGAATCTAAAGAAAGACCTTGTCCTTGAAGCTGAGAGTTGGAATCGTGGTTACATGGGGCTAGTGGGATATGATTAAAGTGCACACAATTACATTCATTATGTCTGTTTGCAGTAACTATAATGAATAAGGATACATTGCATACTAGATTATTGAGAGTATATTTTAAATGTCATCACCAATGAGTATGAATGTGAGACATTCATTATAATGTATATGTATTTCAAAACACGCTGTCTTTAAATTTGTCATTGTACTTTTGATTTTACAAATTAAAATTGAATCAAAGAATGACTGTGATTACAACACGAGGCAGCGTAGTTATACTGCTGTGGGTTTTACATCTGAGTTTTCTGCTCACTCTGTCCTGACCTCCAACAAATTTTCAGCACTGTAAGCGATCATAGATGTTTGCTCTTCTATATAAACAGATGGACACTTAAAGGTTGTTTTACCCAATAAGATGTTTTGTATAGGTAGAGTGCCTAACGTCATAGGTAGCTGATAAATATCGACACACCCTGTTTTCTATCACCAATGAAAAGAACGTATATCACTCATTTAATGTCATTTTATATCCCGAACAAGATGAGAGACCGTGCAACTTGCATTTTCTCTGTATTTTTCAAACGAGAGAGAATGCTGACGACCACCAAAATGCCTGTACAATATGGATTAGTCAAAGCCACTGTCTCTTAAAGCCCGAACAATCAAATGTTGCAAATACCTGGGACAAGACGGAGACTGTTACGCAACACTCTGCATGCTCTGGCTTGCTTTTTGACAATCATTACTGTTAACTCGTTACCTCTGACACCTCTAATGAAGTCATGCTCATGATCAGCTTAATCATAAGACTTAGTTCAGTACATATTTTGACAGGGAAGCTGTTTATAAATTGAAGCATGAAGCAAGTATATAATTGGATAAAATGTTCATTATGTTTTCAGTGTGACAATCTCCGGCCTGAATGCTTTAATGCATATTTAGTCACTTTGAGTTAGAATGTTTGGGGAACTGTTTTAACAAAAAAGATTAGTTTCAAGCAAAATCCATGTCAAACAGTTGAAGTAGTGAACAATCACACACAGCAAACCCTGAGCCACATACTTGATACTGAAAGCTTCTGGAGACGTCACGCATTTCCACCTAAGTGCTGTATGTCACTGAAATGGAATTAGATATAAACACACGAACCAAGAAGCCAGAAACTGACTGTAGACAACACTGTCCTGGAACGTCGGCAATGAACTCCGGGTTCCAGCTAATTAGGCACTGATCCAGTGGCTGCAGACCTTATATTTGGGTTCTTAGAGTGAGGTTATGACATTTGAATCTACTGCTGTCCATGATCCCCCAGTTATCAGGGCTCGGTGCTAATTAGACTTACATCACTCTCGTGCCCTTCTCGAAGGTTGTATGTGAGGTCATGCTGGATGTCTTCCACGAATTTGTGAGCATATTCTGGGTAAAGGTCGAGTACTTCAAACAGCCCTTTGAGGATGATGCACTGAAGATCACAGTAGGTCAGCGCCTTCACATCAGCGTTCGTCTTGATCACTTGGTCTTTAATTGATAGATTTGCTCCAATTAAATCTCCTTTCCCTAAAACAGTTAGAAGAAGGGAAAAAATACACATCATTTTGAAGGGAAACAAAGCAAGTTCAGGACGGGCAACTTCATTTGCCTTACAGACTTCATTTCTCTCACAGTACACTAAAAAGAGAATATTTGGGGCAGACTATTTGACAGCAGTGCTGAGATTTGGAACGTAATAGTTTTTTAGTTATAGAACACGAGATGTTAGCACAGCATTGCAACCCTACCAAGCATCTTCAAAACATCTTCAGACACTGGCAAATGTCCTCTGGTGGGTAAAATGGCCACTAGAGAGACCTGGTTCCAAGAAACGTGGGAAAGGACTTGAGCATCACAGAGCATCCATGGGCTCTAGGCAGCTCTCTTGTAGGATTCAGCAAATGGCTTTGGATCAGTCAGTTGACATTTCTCACAGTCACTTTAACCATTTAAGGGAGGTAGCAATGACTCAGATTTTTCTGAATGAAAAGTGGCTCTGTGCTTTTGAGGTAAGACCACCAGAAAGTAGTAATTGCTTTGCTTCTAGTAATTCAGACAGTAACACAGTATGCTATTCAGCCTTTGAACACATTTAGGTTCTTTATTTACTTATGATCATGTCTCTAAGACAGGAGGGTTAGGTATGAGGAGGAGCTCTACGGACCATGAATCTATTGTGTTCTTATATTGTGTGGCACCGTAAGAACCTCCTTTCTCCACTCAGAGAATGAATAAATAAAAACGATGATCTCGGGCTGGAGAGAGGGCTCAGTGGTTAAGAGCACTGACTGCTCTTGCAGAGGACCTGGGTTCGATTCCCGGCACCCACATGGTGGCTACAAACCATCCTTAACTCCAGTTCCAGGGGAATCCAACACCCTCTTCTGATGTCTGTGGCACTCACATGCTTACAGGCAGTACACTCATACACATAAAAGGGTGCTAGCGCCCTTGACAGTTGACTGCAGTGCCAATGTCCACCACTGTCAAGCTGCATGTTCAGGACCTAACTCGCTTGCTTGAGTTTATTGATTAGCTAATATTGAACAATTTTATCTTTAAAGTCCTTAAGGTGATTTAATCAGCTGAAATTACCAGAAAGGTGAAACACCTGTACATGTTAAGAAATCACTGTTTTTTACCTCTGATATGCTTTGAACACTGTCATAAAATAACCCAGAAGCCTCAGGAGAAACACAAAGAAATCCTTCATTTCATAGACAAACTTAGGTTAAAGGCCGAGGTGACAGGAGAATGTCCCCAGGGGCAACTAGCATTAAACTCACTCAGATATACAAATGAGGACCTTCTGAGTCTTTCTCCAAAGAGCATCATCCTAGACATTAACTATGATCGCTTTAATGGCCCTGGGCTATTTTCTGAGCAGGCAAGAACAAACAGTTGAACAGCCATAAACACCAAGCAAGACGCCTGTCATCTCCCTAGTCAATTATTTTTTAACTTTGAAATTTTTATGCTTTATCATGTCCAGCATTTACAGAGGCAAAGTACCTGGCATGAAACCATCTTCAATAAAAGCCCATCCCTTTTAATTTTTCAGTAAAACACATGAAATTAATTAGAAATACTTGCTATTTAGAATGTCATCAAAAAACTTGACATCAAAAAACTTGAAAATTTTTAAATATTGGATTATATCTAGGTATTAACTTAAAATTAATATTAGAATCAAACTTTGAAATTGAGTCTATTCTGGCAGAAGAAAAACACATATTTTACTCTCTACTTATAGACTGTAGGATGACAAACAGACGTAAGGGAAGAATTCAAGTTTTCAATCAGAATATTATACACTGGTTTATATTTTAAAATAAGCAACAGGCTATTTACAAATAAGGAAGTCTCCAAATGTGTATATTAAAATGACAAATATATAAACTGTTTGAAATCTAAATGAAAACAAAATTAGGTACATTTGATCTGAGAGTTGAGAGCACAAATTTCCAATGAACACAAACACCGTAAAGGAAACACAAGAGGAAGCGTTTAGGGTTTCCTTAGCTTCTTTCTGTCTGCATTGCTGGAGATAGTAGCTGCATTTTTAAATATTGACTTTATCATTCTTATCTGGAATATCTTTATTTACTGCCCACACTTCAGCTCTCTGCCATTTCATGAGCATTTTTAGTTATTAGTATTTTTGTGTACCAAGAGTGTAGTTTGGGTGTTTGATTTGTGGTAAACTGATCTCCAAAGATTTCTCTGCACATACACACACACACACACACACACACACACACACACACACACAGATGGAGGTCAAGGGCAACTCTTAAAAATATATTTTATTATTTTTATTCATGTGTATGAGTGTATTTCTTGCATGTATGTAAGTGCACCCGTGTCATGCAATGCCTGCTGAGGTCAGAAGAGGGTGTCAGATCTCCTGGAACTGGAGTTATAGATGGTGGTTAGCTGCCATGTGCGTGCTGGGAACTGAGCCTAGATCCTCTGCAAGAGCAACCAGTGCTCTTAACCACTGAGCCAGCTCTCCAGCCCAAGGTGAGGGGTCAACTTTAAGGGTCAGCTCTCTCCTCCACTCTTCAGGTATCGGGGGATGGAAGATGGAACTTGGTCCTCAGGTTTGGCGGCAGCACCACCCCTCTCCCTGAGTTCTCTCTACAGTGTCATAGAACTTGGTCCTCAGGCCCTGTGTCAGTGCTACCCCTCTGCCCCAAGCATTCTCTACATTTTCAGAATTTAAGTTTGACTTAAAATTGAAAATTATGCTCTGTGTATGTTTGTTAGAAATCTAAGTATTGGTCTAAATATGCAGAGCTGTGGACAGAAGTAAGACATAAATACAGCCAGGAGGCTGTGGATACACCAACTCTTCAAATTTGTACATCTGAGGATGATTATCACAATTTGGCATCTTGTATTATGAACATTCATAGATTCTGTTACTCAAGGGTCAGTAGAAAGAGTGCTGAGGTTACCGGATGTTCGTTCCTAGGATTGCTGTGGTCTGGCTTTTCAGCCACGACGACAGTGAGTGTAAAAATACCCCCAACATCTTGCTAAATCTGGCACCTTAGTGTCCAGTTTAGTTTCTGCAGTCAGTGGATATTCAGAGTATGGATGATGGTGTTGGGCCTCACGTCGAGCCTTGGCAACACCATCCTGCCCTCACTAATTTCCAGCCCTGTCGATTTCTGACTGTCTGTGTTTAGACTCCCAGGCTCAGAGGTTTTCTCTTTTTGAGGACAACAACAGGAAGGTGATGGGCCGCACCTGGAAGCCAGTGTGCATCTACCGAGGTGGCTGAATGCCATCCGTGAAGACCACTTACCTGCTTCACTCTTTTCTTTCAAACAGCAATGAAGAAATGAGTGGAAAACACATATACTGGACATAGAATGAAGGTGGATGTGGTAAAGAGATTCTGTCATTTATTAATTCCTGTGACAAGTCTCTCCAGGCATCAGATCAGGAAATGTTTCCATGTGTTGATTGGATGATAGAGTCGCTTGAGAAAGTTTATGGCTCGGCAGCTGTTTGGTGATAGTCACAACACCACTTAATTGGCAGAGTGGACATGTGTTAAATGACTAGAGACCGAATGTGAGGCTGTGTGCTTATCAACATCATCATGGATTTGAATCAGAAGTAATATTATGATGGGGAAAATGAACTGAGCTCCATTGAAGGTAATGATTTATGATTGTGGTGGTTTGCATGAGAATGTCCCCATAGGCTCCAAGTGTTTGGACATTTTGTCCCCAGTTGGTGGTGCTGTTTTGGGAAGTCTTAGGATGTGGCCATGCTGGAGGAAGCATGTCACTGAGTGGCAGGGCTTAGAGAGTTCTTAAACGTTGCCAGATTCCCTGTGTCAGATTTCCTCTGCTTGCTTGGAGATGTGAATGCTTAGCTTTCTGTTCCTACTCTGGCCACCTCACCTGCCTCCCTGCCAAGACAAACTCTAATCCCTCTGGAACCTGGAACCATAAGCTTAAATAAACTCTTCTTCTTATACGTTCCCTTGGTCACCATATTTTATCACAGTGACAGAGAAGTAACCAATCAATGATCTTCACTTGGATGCAGCCTCAATATTGCGTTCAGTTTAGACTGGTCATGGAGCATCATCTTTGATACATACATGGCAGAAGTAGAGAGGTGAAAATACCAACCATGAAAATCACAATTTATGCAGAAACTTAGGACCAGAATCAAAACAGCAGCTGAGTAACTTTCAGTGGTAATTAAATTTTTAAA